CCGTATTTAATTGGTAATATGATAAAATAATTAAACTTAGAACTTGATGGAATTGGATTATTCACTTAAAGATTGTTTTAAAAACTATAAATAACTTAAATTTTAGGTAAACTCAAATTTCCATACAAAAAAGAAATTTGTCTATATTGAATAAGATAATTTCAACTCATTTGGAACCCAATAATTGAATAATTTAGACCAGATTATTTCACAACAGAAAGTCATTGATTCATTATTCGATTCATTTAACTTTGTTAGAAAAGCCAATTACCACAGCTACCTGCTGCTATTTTAGACTCTACAAATCCCAATAAGACAGCTGGATGCTGCTATTTTGCTGACTCAAAATAAAACTATTCACACGTTTAAATGAAATAATTTTCAAATATGTTATCCCCTTTTATAATTTTATTATTATACATTTTGAAAAATGAGATTATAAAAGATTGGAATCTGCTTTTTTTACCTAATTTTTTAAAATTAGTCTATTTTAATTTATACACTACAAATCATATCATTATTATCAGGATTATATGATAAGGACTGATTTGGGTGAATTCATGCATCTTTATTTTAATTTTATAGTTGATCAGTATAAAAATAATTAAAATAAACTAAAAATATTAGGTATTCTTCTGATTTAAAATTACATTTTGATCATATATCAATGAGCAGCCGTGATAGGCATGCCGATTGGACCAGAAGACCCTAAACTATATCCTAGATGAGCCTATAGAAGCTGCCCATCAGGCGTACAAAAGATATCAGCTCTGGAACAGGACTTCACACAGGGCTCCTAAGACCAAAGGGGTATAATACCTACGATTTTGGGGACCGGAAGCACCGGCTCAGAATGACCCGAAAATGATTACAATGCTTCCTATATGTCTTAAAAGAAATATTATGGCCACCAAACCAAAAACACTAATTCTAAATAAATTCAAACCAAATCAATTCATCAATACATTAAATAATCAAATCAAATCATGCCAAGTGAAAGTTTAATTGGAGGAATATACCACTTGTCAAATTAAAATGACAAATGGAGGTCGTGGCCCAGGATGCAATACACGTGGACGAGTAGAGTCTGGGGCTTCATCCTCTGCTCAGTCTCCCGTGCCGCCATCACTTCCTTCTGTTCCTTCCTCTTTTACCCCACTTCCTGGACCAGTAGAGTCTTCACCAGCTTCACAGTCACCTACTGAGTCTTCACCAGGCTTCACAGTCACCACTGCACCAGGTAATCAGTAGAGTCTTCACCAGCTTCACAGTCACCTACTGCACCAGGTAATCATAAATGTCATTTACTGTCATTTCAGTTATATATTAATTATTTATCTGAATCAAAGAAGGTGATCTCACCAATTCTGCGCTGTAGCACATTGATCATATCCACGCTCTGGATTTTGGCAAAACCCTAACAAACGTCATAGCCTCTAACAAAGATTCTCTATGCTCCTTTGAGGCTATCAACAAATCCCACAGTGAAAGATGAAAAGGACTTTGAAAAGAGAGTCAAAGAGTGCTTGAAATTGTCGGGAAGGAAGCGGATGGGGCTCGGCGATGCGCCTCGGTCGGATGTGGAACGGCGATAAGCCAGTCCGCCGATCGGCTCGGGGCGCGGACCAACGCGGATCGCTGTGGCGGCCTAAGCCCGGGCTTTCGATAGGCCCGTGGAGACGCCATCGCGGCGATCGTGGACCACAGCACATGCGATGGTTCGCGGGATTCTGTAATTCACACCAAGTATCGCATTTCGCTGCGTTCTTCATCGATGCGAGAGCCGAGATATCCGTTGCCAAGAGTCGTTTTGGTTATAGATAGAGGACAACGCATCCCTGAGGCTGCCCGTTTCCGGGGCCGATGGGCGCGTGCTCTTCTCGTTTTGTGTTTCCTTGGCGCGTCCTACGCCAGGTCGATCTGGGCAAGGCCAGTGCTGGTGGGTCCTCTATCGACGCTTCTGCATTTTGGGACTTATTGGACCCCCCTTAACACTTTTTTTTAAAGATACCAACATTGAACTCTTAAATACTTAAAACTAATTAAAATAACTCTTAAGGTCATTAAATAGTTAACTATTCATTCTTAAATTAATTTATAAATTTAGAAGTACGTTTTAATTTAAAAGCTAAAAAATAAGTAGCGAAATCAAATTTAACATCCTTTAAGTTAATGAAGAATTTTCAATTCAAAAGAAATCAAAGGTAACAAGCTGCAACAAACTTAACAATATAAAGGAGTAGACTATGAAGCTGCGTCAGGAGTTAGAACCTGCGCCAATGAATTATTCGAATTGAAATCAACACTGAAAAATGAATTGAAATTGTTCATTAATATTGATTTTATTGGAAAAAATAACCTGCAAAATGCTACTTTTTATGCCCAAATTTGAACTAAAATTTAGTTTATTTTTAATTTAGTTAAGCCCAAATTTAAACTACCGGTGGAGAGCTTATAGCTATTATGTGACAGATGATATTGTTAAAATATAAAATGACAGTTAAGAATATAATTGTTTTTTAATATGATGTATAATGTAAATATTTTTTATTTTTATCAAGAATATATATTTTTTTTTATTCTAATGATCATATAAATAAAAATTATTAACTAAATTTTTAAAATAATATTTCATAAAAAATAATAATATTTCCATAAAAAATTATTATCCTTTTAATAATTATTAAATAAAATAACTTATAAAAAATTAAATAATTTAATAGAGCTAAAACTTTTCAAAAAAAGGTAATCCAGTAAAAAGAAAAAAAGAATAGTCATTTTTAAAATAATATTTCATAAAAAATTTATTATCTTTAATAATTATAAATAAAATACTTATAAAAAATAAATAATTTAATAGAGCTAAATTTCAAAAAAGGTAATCAGTAAAAAGAAAAAAAATAGTCATTTATGCATGCATGATGGATAATGGATTTACTTTACCGGGCTTTTTATGAGACTGAACTAGTTCAGATCATTTTGAAATTTTGGGCTGTTCTCAGTACTTACAAAATTTTTTGGCGCTTCTGCCTCATTTTTAAATAAGCATAAAAAATAAAAATTCCAATTAACTTTACTGTATCTAATTATTAATTTGCTAAAAAATTGTAGTTTTTAAAAAAAAATTTAATTAATAATTTCTATTATTATAAAATAATAATCCTATAAAAAGATTTAATAAATTAATTGATAATGCTACAAGAGTATTTAATTATTATTCATATAATCAGATTTCACTAGGAGAGCTTCAATAGTTTTTAACATTTTGATAAATTAAAACATTAAATAGCTTTTAACATTTTTACAAGTTAAAACATTAAGTTGCTTTTAAAATATTAAAATATTATTTTATAAAAAATTAACTTAAAGCCACTCATACACCTAATAACTCTAAAAATCTAATTACGCGGAGGAGGCCTTAAAAAACTTTTCAATGAACTCCTTCACCCATATCTGAGGGAATAACTACTCCCATTCTAAACTTCACAAAATCAAAAAATCAACTCTGAAAAATCTGTATGAGCAATCTAAGTGCCAACACATTTGTGTGCGCAAATTAGACTACCAGAGAACAACTGTGCACATGTGACAGAAAAAGAGGAGAGTTGAATTGTCAAGCCAAGTTGCAAGAGTTTTCCTAGAACTCGTCGGTAATCCCTGTCTGCTCTAACTGCTGTAGGAGTTCAATAAACTGCAATGCTTCACAAAAACAAGACTTCACAATAGACAAACCGTCAGGCACATACTGTATCCAAATCCAGCGAAGAGAACAATGGCTATCAAACTTCATCATTGATTAAATTTTCAACCAAGTCGCAAGAATTTCTAAAAACACCTCTCCAAGTCACATCTGCTCTTAACAGCGTAAGAATTCAACAAACTTTGATGCTCCACAAGAAAGACTGAATAATATACAAACTCTCAAGAGCCAGATAATGATCGCTGTCAAACTTTTAGAGCTTTGTCAATAACTAGTTAATACAAGAAAAATGTGGGAAAAACACAAGATACCAGTCAGGTAGAAGAGAGCATGACGAGGAAATGTTCAGATATTTGAGAGCAAAAGCTACCTTAAGCACCCTAGAATAGAAAACAATATGGAAGACAACAAAACAAATGAGAGAAATTGCTACATCATGACATAAATACTAGCTCAAGCATCAGCACCACCATTAAGCTAAGGAACAAGCCATCGCACTTGTTTAATGAATCAACATTATCATGCAAAAACGCAAGACTTCCCTGTTACAATTTGCACCAGATGAGATTTTGAATCACAATCCACAAAACATGAGAAATGAAAGAAAACTAGATAATAGCCCTATCTGACCTCCTGAACAAGAAGACCCGATATGCATGAAATTAAATGCAATCTACAAGTAGAAGTTGCAGTTGGAATATAAATTGAAACTATCAAAAGCCTTAGTATCTATCAGCTCTTGATTCAATTACTTAGTGAAATGAATTCCCCTTCCACAGCATGCATCTCCAAACATGCAATATCTAATACCTTGTTTAGCATAAACAAACTTACGACAACAACAACTAAGCCTTAATCCCAAACTAGTTGAGACTACCAATATGAATCCTTTGTTTCCAATATCCACCCTGATCAAATTAATATCAATACAAAGCAAAATATAAGTCAAAAAATTTTAAAATACCTTTTGCAAAACAAACATCCGCTCCATTTAGCATAAATGAACTTGAAGTGTATGACAATTTACTAATGATAGAAATTAGAAGTTAGTATAGTTATGCTGAATTTCATACACAATTGAGTGAGATGCCGAGATGAATATTTTGATTCATACCAAAAATCAAAGCATGGAAATTCCAATGGTGATGTATACCCAACTAAGAGTTCCGATGATCTATTCTTTGAACCAGAAGCACCCCTCATCATGCACACAGGCAGGCGGACAAAGCAAAACACAACAACGAAAAAAAAGAATAACATTCACATGATACTAAATCAAAAACACATAAGAGCAACAAAGAACATTTAATAATAAAACCAGCATTTATTTTCTTTTAGAATAAGATCCTCAAGCATCAACTACCACTCAATCTTTCTTCTTAAGGCCATCCAAGTTTTCACATACATTATATACATATATTTATATATACTTCAAATTTTATGTTGAAGCAAACAAACATAGTTTACGAATTGAAAGGCCTCACCAAACCAACAAACAGTTTACCCATCAATAATCCACACGGTAATCACTATAATCATCGCGGCCCGCAATGTCATTCTCGACCCTCTCTGCAATTTTCTCCTCTTCATATTTCAATCCTTCTTCCAGTGCTAATCCGCCTAGAGCCCCAGCAACAGCGCCCACAGCCAATCCCGTCCCAAGCCCCATCTTTCCTCCTTTCTGTCTCTGGTCGTAAGATGAATAATCAATCGGCGCAGATGGTCCACCGTAATTGCTCGTCCGATCAAAGACCGGTCTTGGCGGCATTGGTGGGCTTGGGGCAGAGGAGTAATATCCGGGATAGTAAGGAGTAGGAGCATATGCATCGTGATAAGGTGAATATGGAGGCGGTGGTGACGCCGAGGTGGGTGGCGGGATTGTTGGCCCATACCTGTAATCATGCGGCGCGTGAAGAGGTGGTGGAGGCATAGGGGCAGTGTTGTAATAATAGCTTTGTGGAGGGGGAACGCGGTGGTAATCAAGTTGCTGCGGCGGTGGTGGTAAAGGCCGTTCACGAACACCAAGCTTTATCTTGATCTTACCTTGAGGACGACCAGATGGCCGGGTCAGTTCAAAATTTCGAATCCGGTTAGCGTCCTCCGGGTCGGGCAAGTCCTTCAAAGCGACACGGAGAGTACCAACGAGGGGTTTTGGGGTTTCGCTGGGCTTGGAGTGGAAGATCTCGAGAGTGAGATAGGATTCCTGCAGAGGGAGGGAGAGGGGAAAGGTGAAGTGCTCGTTCCATACGGGTCGGGTCGACCCAGAGTTGTCCGATTTTGTGGCGAGCCTCCGGTCCGGATCAACCCAGAAGACAGCGTAGGCTTTAAGATCACCGTTTTTCCAGTTGACATTTTTGAGGTGCTTGGCGGAGACTATAGTGAGCTCGAGATCGAGAGGCTTTGATGGTGGCGGGCGACAAGAGGCCATGAGGCTAACGTACGCGGGTAAGCTCTTGGATGCGCAAGATAAGGACAGAGGGATATATGAAAGAGTCAAGTACAGAGTGGATGTTAATGCGGATTTGGTTTGGAGGAATATCAAACGCGCAGAAGGAAAGCGAACGGGGAAGAGTTGGGATGACGATTTTACCCCAAATGGAATACTATTATTTATTTTTTGAGAAAAGTAATACTATTATTTTTAAAAAAACAAACAATGGGATTTTTATTCAATAATAAAATAAGATTTTTATTTTCTTGATTGTTAATATTTTCAAAATGTAAAATAACTATTAAGTGAATAAAAATACTTATTATGATTACATGTGCGTATATTTTTTAAAGATAAATGTTATGTTTGGAGGCTGATAATTTGGAGGTTACGAGGTTAGTCCTTTCGGATTTACACTTTGCTCATCCTTTCGTAGCTATTGTTTTGAATATTCAGAAATTTTTGGTTCGTGATTGGGAGTGCTCTCTTCGTCATGTTTACTGGGAAATCAATTTTGCGGCTGATTATCTGGCTAGGTTGAGTCATTCTATCCCTTTCTTGTTATATATTTGAGATTCTAGTCCTGCTTCGTTACCTCTGATTCTTTGGGCTGATGTTTGTCGTGTCAGCTTTTTGAGATATGTTTTTTCTTTTATGCTCCTTTATGTAACAAAAAAAAAAAAGATAAATGTCATATTTTCTATTTAATATATTGTAATGGCTTCACATATCTATACATATAATATATTAGTGGGGAAATTATAATTTTAGTATTTGAACTTTTCATTTTTTTTCTATTTTAGTGTCTCAATGGAAAACAATGTCAATTTAATGCACAAACTTTTTAAAAATTGCATTTCAGTGTCTCAATCGGATGTGAATCACCGAAATATGACTGTGTACTGCTAGACATATTTTATCACATATGGCAAATGACATGACATAGAAAAACTTCAAATTAGCTTGGACTTGCTATTAAATTCCCTAATTTGCTCCTCAGATATGCTTTTTCCTATCCAAAGCCACTTCCTTCTAGAATTCAAAGCAAATGATGCAAACCGCTTCTAGAATTCAAAGCAAATTGAAGCAAGTTTATGATTACTTGCAATAAAATATTAACGAGAATAGATTTACGGCAGCCGCTGAAAAAATAAAAAATTGGGACACGCAGAAAATTTACATGTTCCAACCCTCAAACTGTTTAGCGGCTACGTCCACGGACAACTCCGAAATATTTCTTCCACTATTTAAAAATAGTCAGCTTACACATCGAGAGTAATTCGGACAGAAATATGCACTCACGAAGTGTTTCCCAAAAACACCCTAATGAATTCTCACTATTTCTAAACCCTAGTTATTTAAAGAACCCTTTCTTAAAAACCTCATAAAAACTGCTCTGATTTTTCTCTCACTATTCTCTCTCTGCCTCCTTGCCCGTGATGTCTATGCTCGAATGCTCTGCTCTATTTATAGCAAAGATCGAGAGAGCCGTGCATTGTCCTCATGCACGGCCTTCATTATTTTCAAACTGGCCAGCCAACCCATTTTCAATGGTCTGGGTTGCCAACCTTGAATTTTTTTTCTTTCATAATTGGTGTGGTCCCATTGAGTGGGCACACCGACCACCACAATCCCCCGCACTTCGCTCAAGTGGACGTTAGCCATATGACTCTCCATCGATCCTGCAGCTCAATCGCATAATTCAATACTTGTCTTTGGAGAGAATCTTGCTTAACATATGCTAGATCCATTTTCAGCCTGGTATGGATCTTCTCAAGCTAGTCACACACACACACACACACACACACAAAGAGTACTAACACTCAATGTCTTTGACTCTTGAATGAGGAGGACTTCTTCCAGATGAAATTTGCACCTTGTGGCCTATCGCAGAAAAATCAAAACGTTCTTTAGTAACGAATCACTCTTCCCGTCCAGCCCGTTTAACACTCAAATGAAACCGAGCTGAGACGCTACATCATTCTTGGTTTGAACCTACTGTCGAATTGTCATGCTTATATCATGTTATTGCTGATGTAGACTGTCAAGCGTTCCTTTTTTTACATTAGGAAAATATAATTATGTACTTAATATTTGTACATCAAGACATGACATACTATTTCAAAAATGAAAATGGCCCAATCGTTGCCCTCGTAACATGCCCATGACTAAGGATAAGACCAAATCAAATTAATCCAAATGAGGTAAGCTAACCCGAAAGAACATGGTCTTCCACAATGAACTGCAAGCATAGGTTGTAAGCTGATTCCAGCGGTCCAGTCCAAAACCTAAGAAATTAAATAAATAACTCGCTGAGGCACAATAATGCTCAGTGATATCTCAAGTAATAAAGAAATTAAATCAATAAACTAATAACACACATATCATTAATCTTTCATGATTTTACCTGCGTTCATGATGCACGTAAATAAATTGCCAACTTTTAATTAACCATCGATACTTTATAAATAATACAATTCAACAATAACTGCATGCTCCAATCAAAGGTATTATTGAACACCAAAGTGATAAGAAAAGACTGTTAATGAACTAGTTAATGAACCACTGATGAATTACTGTAAGGCGGGCTTTATGGCCCGTAGTATAAAATTCATATCCACAGTCAACAGCCTGTACTGAGTAACCAAACGTACTGGGGGTTGCAGATCTGCATCTATGTCGCGACATAGTCTTATCACTGGTTTCTAGCCTAACCTTAATGGAGCAATAATTAGTGTATTTGTGAATAATACAAATTATTAGAAAATATAATAGAATAATGCAATACCATTGATAATGTTAAAATAACTTGCAGGAAAATACTCTAGGAGCTATGTGCACCCGCGAATGCAATTCTATAAATTTATGTAAACTAAATTTTTACCATTCAATTAAGGGAAATTCTTAGTTTGAATAAGTTCACTTAGAAGGTATAAGTATCATAATAATTTTCGCTGGTATATGAATCTACATTGCACTTCCAACATCAATTTCTAATGTGTTCCTTGAAATCTGCCAGACAGCCTGTAATGTTTCAAAATCCATCATAACTCTTTTCTGTATATGTCCAAAATTAGGTTATTCTAAATCTATGGTTACTAACCATCTTACAGGTACAAAAGTTTCTTCTAACACACTCTCTTAATTAATCGGTTGCAAGTGTGGAATACGGCAAAATTTTGAGCTCATAAATCCTGTTGTCGACTTTGCTAACAGTAAACTTGAACTGTGCTACAACTGAACTTTGCTACACGTAACTTTTACTACCAAGTCCAAGAAGCCAATTTTCCCGACTGCAAACACCGGCCGGACCGGAGGCCATTTCGGAAGTTCACCGAAAATATGTCAAATTATGTACTCTGAAACGCCCGGAATTTTAACGAGGATCCGCGGAACAGGTCCCCGGATAGTATTTTTCGGAAGTCTGAAACTGCCAAAAAGCATTCGCCGTAAGCGAGGCAGAACGTGGCCATCACCGGCCCACGGCGCCGCCAGCCCACGCAAGCGCAGGCGGGACTGGCGCCAGCGCGGGCGGGCCTGCGCGCACCAGTCCGCGCGAGCCATCTCGCGCCCGCGCGCGGCGAGCCGTCCTCCCGCGCTGGGCGAGGCCTTCGCCCCATCCGACAAGGGCGATAGGTTACCGCCGAGCCTGGCGCACTACGGCTGCCAGAATTTTTGACGGTGCTACAGGCCATGGCCCGCGGCAGCTACCGCCGACGGGAGCCCGAAAAATGCCTATAAATAGGCATTTTCAAGGCTGTTTTGGCAACCTCTTGTCTATTCACGACGAGGAACCTTCTCCCTCTCCCCTCCTATGTCTTCTCTATACCGGCTTTTTTGCATTAATTTAAATTTAATGCATTTATATTTGTTATTGAACCAACTAAATAAAAATATAAGATTAAAAAATTAATTGAATCATAGCCCTAAAGAAGGCGCTAAAGTCGAGTAGAATGGCGACGATGTAAATTCAGGTACTAAATTAAAATCCTGCCTATTATGTTTAGCACACTATCAATGCATCCTTCTTTCCTACTCTTACATCATTCATAACTGCATAAAAATCATACATCGTCAACTAAATCTGCTAATCAAAAATCAACCTTTTAACGGCCAAAAGCCGTAAAAATCGAACCATGTTGCCGAAACGCCTTAAAATCACAATTTTCGAGCTAAAAGTCCATTAAAATCAAACCATTTTTGCGAAACGCCTTAAACAACAATTTTCGGCGGGCCTCAAAATCAATGCCATTTGGCGACAATGCCTTAAGTTTACACATTTTAGCAAATGAATTGCCTAAAACATACAATTTTGGCTTTAAAGTCTTAAAATCGATATTCTTTTGGAAAAATGCCTAAAATCAGTCATTTTTCGGTTAAAACCGTAAAATCAACCACTTTTAGCGACAAACCTTAAAACCGACCATTTTGGCAAAAAATGCCTCAAAATCAATTATTTTACGGTTTAAAAACCGTAAAATCAAAACCATTTTAGCGAGCAAAATAGCATTAAAACAAGGCGACATTTTTGGCAAATGCATCAAAATCAATCATTTTCGGTTTAAAAAAACCGTAAAAATACAAACAGCATTTAGCGCAAAATCGCTTAAAATCAATCATTTTGGCCAAATGCCTTAGAAACTCAATCTTTTAACGACCAAATCGTTAATGAACCATTTTGGCACAATGCTAAAATCAATCAAATGGTTGCAAAATGGCCTTAAACAAAATGCACAAAGCATACACAAAATCATGCACAACAGCATACACAAATACTGCCACAAACTACACCAGAAAATGCACAAAGCATACCAAGCACAAGCAATAACACACTCAGTGCAACTAATAGCGATACCAGTTCAAAGCCCGTTCAAGAGAAGGCCTATCGAATAACTCTTGATTTTGATCTTCCAATCAATGGACGGAAGTACGTTAGCACTTCGGGTGATTGTGCACCTCCGGGTGGCCAAGTTCGATGACTCATCGAAATCAGTCGAAAATCATTGAAATCATCAAAATCATATGAAAATCATAGCAAACATTTCATTAACCAACTCATTCACTCGTTGCAAAACATTCATCTCATCGTTAGGTTTTATCAGTTCA